GCTGCCGATAGCGCGCCCGAGATAGCCCATCGGAGCGTTGCCATGTTTTGGAGCTGCCGATGGCGCGCCCAGAGATAGCCCGTCGGAGCGTTCGCCATCTTTTGGAGCTGCCGATGGCGCGCCCTGAGGTAGCCCGTCGGAGCGTTGCCCACCCGGACTGCGTCCATGTGGAACCGTTCTCCTGTGGCAGTACGGGAATCGGCGGTCCCGGGTGGTCTGTACCTGGCGAGCTTGAGGATTGCAAACCGACATACTGATGCGTGACAGTACATCAAACGCTTTGGTGTGTTTATCATCAAGGTGCGCGTGTGTGTGTGTATGCATTTGCGTGTGCGCATGCATTTGAGCACGTCCGTAAAACAGCGCATAGCCCGAATAGCAAAGTTGAGAGGGTTACAAGATTACATGCTCGATTAATTGACTTGTATTACGGAAATGTGTTTGCGAACGCCATGTTAGAGAAACAAAAAATGAGAAAGCATATATCATACGCCGATATCCTCCGTTATCCTGGCTACCCACGGACACGAAATAAACACCCATCCTGACTTTGGTTCATTAGCACTATGCACGCAGTTCCCTAGCACTCATGTCTGTTTATTTTGCTGTCAGCGTGAACGAAACGTTCTTGGTCCGACCGCGCTGGCTTATCGTCTGGAGCACCGACAACCTACTATAGAACATTTGCTATGAAACATGTTTAAATGCCTTAGTAAAACACGTCAAAAAAACTTCCAAGATGCATGTAACCAGTTTTGCAGGCGAATCCCTCATTCATCAAGATAGTGAGCTGGAGGCCCTGAGGTCCTGCAGAAGGTGCGAGAAGGTTAAGAAAAGAGCCTCAAATGATTCGAATCACCTGCAGAGTCCTGGCTCAAATGCTCCGGACGACGGAACATCCAGCCTTTTTCACATTCACATTTAGTATTGCAAACAGTGAGCTCACATTTTGTTCCGTTCGTCAGCCAGTACTGGATTTAGAACCACTGCAGATTCATTATTGTAAATCACCCGACCGGAGGGAAAGCTCATGCTTCTTTTCACGATAACAGTGCGGTGCGGCTTTTACTAGCAAATGGTACGCCCACAGGACCGCTTCACTTCCCGTAATGACCCACTTTTATTTCGGATTCGGACAATGGCAAGCCATTCAGCCAACTGCGTAGCCAGTTCCGCAATATGAGTGACTCAGAAATGTTTGATTAACGACACCCTTTGAAATCTTTGGGTTGAGACCTTTTCATCTAAAAAACGGCAGGGAGGGATTCCCATGCTTTTACCTATATTGAATAAGTCGGTACGGGTGAGGTACCAACTTCAGATGCGTGTTGCAAGCTCAGCGATTCAAAAATTCATCTGATGAACGTGATATCTTACAATGTCTTGCGATCATTTTATTTTCATGCTGTGTGCACTTATGCCCCAAAAATGAAGCAGAAGCACTTCCATGAATATAGAACAATAAGCAGTGCGGTATATCGTGTGGTGGCTGTGCAGTGGGTACGTAATGCAAGTGGCAACTCAGTCTGATGTTGCCTTAAAATATCCGCAATACGTACGTTAACACCAAGAACGACATATTTTCACTGTCGATTGGCACCAGGGCGGTCTCCTCCCTTGTCATCCAAGCGTTTTACTCTCTGTACGTATAATCTCTTTATCCGAACGGCACGAATTAGATGACTTGATGGTTGGGTAAACCCATGGATGTCCATTGCAATGGACGATGGAATGGGCTGGGTATGTGCTTTGGAAAAAACACCGTCACGGGCGTGGGGAAGCTGTTTACAAAATGCGGGTGCTCCCCCGCGAAATGTTGCAGAGTGTAGATTGTGCATTTTTCAGCCATAATCAATCTCATTTGCAAATACCGTTGCGATTATCAAGGCAGGCAGTCTGTTTGGCTGTAAACTTCCCTGCAACTCTTCCGTAATTTGGAATGTAATTCCCCGATCAATGCAAACTGAGCAACGGGTAGATACAACTGATTATGGATAGGTAGCGCGTGAGCCTGGGCACAGCTCCATAGCTAATAGGTGGGCATGGGCAGAAATGGCAGAGCCTCATGGGTAGAGCGTAGGTATTGGCATAGTTCAATGGGTAACGGGTAGGTATGGGCATAGCTCCCTGGGTAACAGGGTGGGTATGGACACAGCTCCATGGGTAACAGGTGGGCATGGGCACAGCTCCACGGGTAACGGGTGGGTATGGGCACAGCTCCATGGGTAACGGGTGGGTATGGGCATGGCTCCGTGGGTAACGGGTGGTTTTGGGCATAGCTCCATGGGTAACAGGTGGGTAAGGGCACAGCTCCATGGGTAACGAGTGGGTATGGGCACAGCTCCATTAGCAGCGCGGGAAGTGGGCAAAGGAAATCTAACTCGTGCGTGCGTCTTCTAGGGATGCGTTATAAACGTTTTCATAACAACCGTAAGCTAATGCGTGAGTTGTGCTATCTCCGCACTCAGGCTGCGGAGAACCACATTGTGCAGCGGCGTTGCAGGAAGATACTACCGCTCATGCGACGTGCGATGCAAATGTGCCCCTCCCGTCATAGATTTAAAACCAGGGCTTTTGTGTAACACGTGGTCCACGCGCAATGCTCCACCACTGAGATAATCGAAATCCAAAGGGAAAACCACCGCTGAAAATTGAATAATAGCGCATCGGATTCCAACCATCACTTACACCAGCCGCAAGGCGCCGGGCTGTCGGATCTTTTTTATAGCAGTGGTAAAGCACTGCGTGTGCTTTCCACAAGTAGTACAGAGCAGGGTTTAATTACGGACGTGAGGTCCAATTTTTCTACGTCTGTTGAAAAAGCAAGCCGCACCTAGCTTGCACACAGCTGCGCAATGGGGGGTACCGACAGTCTCGGAGAACGAGGAGAATACAGCAGACGTGCGCTATGGATACTTATATGGACCCATAGTTCCCGCACTGTGGGGCGGTGGTGGTCCGCGTGCTCCGACTGTGAACAGCATTTGCACCGTCATATTGCAGACAGATGCTATCGTATCGATACGCATCGTATGGTATCACGCTGTAATTCGATAATATTTGCTCGTATCGTGTCGTATCGCAGATAACATGACATCGCATGGCATCGTTGATGGCATCACACGGCAAGTTTAGCTCTCGGATCAGCGAATGAAGTACGGAACCCTTTGGAAGCGGTCTGCCTTGTTCGTAGGGGGCGGGGAGGGAAGGTTAGGTGGTGGTTGAACAGCAGATGTCAGTGGAGCGATTGTCTCCCTGCGCGGCTACTAACGGCACAAAGTTTTGGCCAAGTTACCACGGAACTCTACTACAAACCGCAGCTGCCACTATCAATGCTGCATTATCAATCCGCACCACCATACAAACAATATGAACACGACTGCCTAACTTAACAGTAGACTCAAAGACACGTTCACTAAACCCTCTTTGCTCGAGTGGCTTGGAAAAGGAGACGGAGCAAAATGGCTAGCTTTGGACGGATAACCAAACGTGTGACACGTGCCAGGCGGGTTGTGGTGGGCAGAAACACTGTGCACGACTATATCTACGACATAAATATGCCATTGTGTACTCCTGATAAACATATTCCTGCTTTGGTGGAAAACACATCATAGACGAGCCGAGTAAAATGAGCGTATCTGAGACGCAAAATACAAAAAGTTTGGAACTCTTCTTGTGATTAGATTCTTAAAAAGTCACACGCACAAGTTGCATCTTGCTGCAAAAGTTCCCATGACAATTTTGCGCACTTGCAGAGCTGAGGCTGCACTAAAACTTGCTGAATCTGAGCTCACTTGCCATCACAAACCAAACCTTAACACGTGTGTTCCCATGGTGGCAGCCTGTACCACCCCCCCCCCCCCCCCCCCCCCCTCCACTATTTGTGTCCACTCTCTGTCAGCTTTGTCTGCATGTTGTCAGCCTAGCGCTCTGATGATCTCATATGATCTTTCATTGTCCTGCTTCGCTGTTGTGGCGCAGGTAAACTTTGTTTAGAGCCGAGGATCGTCTTTACTTGCATTGTCTGATATGTAAATACATGTGGCTTAGGGCTCCGCCCGCGTATGAAATAACTTTTTTAACTAACGCTGGGAAGATCTTGAAGGTGAAATGCTTGCCTTATTTTTCAGAAGTGCTTTGACTATTTTCTTTGCATAACCGAAATTGGTACGGAGTCCAATCAGACCGATGTGTTTTGACCGCGAGCGAGCCTGTGAAGGTTTGCCGACAGATTAAACTAGCAAGATCGTTTGCGGTCAACTGGTAATAGACAACGCATTCCGAAGAAGACAAAAGTTTAGCCGAGAGAGCCGCAATCGGCGTTGTTATGCCTCGGATATACCACGCTGGCTGCTGGCTTCTGTTTCTTGACTCGAGGTCATTCATAGCCCGGCGGCAAACGGCGCCCTCCATTTCCCGACTGACACGCAAACAGCTCTCCTCTCGGGAAGGTTAATTCGGATCTACTTTTTCATTTCCTGGCCAAAGTTCTCTGGATTTTATCCAAAGAGATTAAACACATCACACTCGGTCTTGTGGAAAAAGCTGGTAAACAGTGAATATTAAGTAGAATATGATCTAACATTCATTGCATTGCATACTTTCGGGTCAGATGGGTGTCATCGTGCTGAGGACTTTACATCCTTGTCTGCAGTTGAGTTCAACCGCTGTGAGCTATTGTACTTCTTTTTCTTTGTGCACCTTGTAAGAAAACAATACACTGGCGCATGGACAAATAATGACACTCGATGCAAGCCTGCACTAGGCATCTCATGAATTGAATGGCATAGCCAATGCTTTCGACAGCAAATTCAGGATAAGGGTAGCGAGCAGCCATATGCAGGAAACTATAACAGTTTGAAAAATATGAACGGCAGTTCACATTTTCCTCCCCCCTCAACCTCCTCCTAATGAGGGAATGAGGAAGAGGTTGCGTGGAGTCACGTTAGTCCAATTCACTTACAAGTCACAAAACACAGCGTACGAACGTAATGACTGACCTGAAGTGTGACCATCATTCGGTCATTCTGGCCGATATCTACACATAGTACTGGTTTATCTGACTAGATTAACAAACCCGCTTAATTAGCCAGACGGATTGCACATCAGGCGCACCCCTGGGTATTTCGTGTCGCATTGCACCACAGTTTGCGCAATGGTATGGAGACTGGAAAGCACAAGTACACATTTCACGACACAGGCACATCTGTACTTCAATCAAACTAAAGGTAAGGTCTGACTATAACTAATGCCCCCGAATTCGCCAACGGTGAAATTGCTTCGAAGCGCCAGAGCGAGGTGAAGGTGATGGCGTTAATCCAGCGTTATCATCCGCCAAGCCCACTCCAGCTGACACGCTCTCACGGAAACGATCGCCTCGAGCACAACTCGGCAGCCAAGCCCAATTCCTTCCGCCGAAGAGCGCACAACTTACCGGAGCCCCGCCCGCAGCGGGAAGGGGCGCGATCGGCCTGATTGGGCGCCCGCCGGCGGCCGCGGGGGGCGGCCCAGCCCCGCGGGCGCCACCCGGTGGCGGCGCCCGCCGGCCGACAGCTTCCAGACGCCCCGACAGCTCCTGCCTGGGGGCCGAACAGGCCTGGACGCGCCGACAGTAGCCGGCCGGAGACCCGACAGCTCTCCGGCCAGCGAGCGCAGGCGGATATCAGGCTGACGCCGACGCCGCCAAGACGTCCGCCTTGTCTGCCAACTCGCGGAGTAGTAGTACGGCATCCAGCTAGGGGGCCGGGGCGCCCCCCCCCCCCCCTACCCCGACCTGACGCGTGGCCCAATCCCGATGACCCCCTGACCTTGCCAGAGTCCGTGGCGCTGGCTGTGTTGGGGTCATACCAGACGAGCCGCGACCGTCAGCAGTAATTAGACACGGATGCAAGCCAACCGGATTAGTGTAAGCTGGTCGGAGCCGTGAACGTAATTCAGTGACACGTCATGTGACGCTATTCGCCTGAATAGTCTGGGGTCTCGGCTGAATGATCAGGAGTCTTCTGTGGCGCCGCTGGCCCGAATGATCATGGTTCTACTGCGGCGCCGCTGGCCTGAATGATCGTGGGTCTACTGTGGCACTGCTTGCCCGAATGATCATGGGTCTACTGTGGCGCCGCTGGCTTGAATGATCATGGGCTGCTGTGGCGCCGCTGGCTTGAATGATCATGGGTCTACTGTGGCGCCGCTGGCCTGAATGATCATGGGGCTTCTGTGGCGCCGCTGGCCTGAATGATCATGGCGCTACTGCAGCACCGCTTGCCTGAATGATCATGGGTCTACAGGTTGAGCGTCAAAGTTCATTTCAAGTTTGCGGAACCAAGTCGCGATGTATGACAGCTGGGAGGCGTTGCTCGCGTTGCCAACACGCTGGGTTAGATCCATTTGCAAGTCAATCTGACACACCTTTGCTGAAGGAGGCTTAAATCACAAGTCAAACCGTTCAAACGAAGTGATAGACGGGATTATTCCTGCCGTCAGCCGGGACGGGGGGAAAGGAGGGGGGGGGGGGGGGGCGATGCAGTCCAGGCCCGCTAACGACCCGCGGTGCCTGAAAGCAACTGAGTTGAAGTGCCGGGAATGTGTAGTCGTTCAGCACGCGTCCTAGAAGAGGCAGCGGTGGGGGACAGCCTTGAGTGGAATGTAAATCCTGATCTTGATGTCAAGACTTCGCAAAATATGGCCGAGCGTTTCATCAGCATATTGCTCATAACTCAGTGGCAAGAACGTGCTTCTGGCGTCCCCGTAGGCACGTTTCGAAGACCATTGCCGCCATGATTTCTTTTCCGTTCCGAAAGGCATGATGTTGCCAGGTGGACACATGCAACTCAGCGTGCGGGCCAACAGCTTTTCATTTTGAAAGGTGCAGGGTATTTTGGGTCTCGAAAACCATCATCAGCTTGGGGTGTAGTTTCTTGTTAGGTTGCGGCTCCAGCCCCTCTTCCAAACTTTGAGAAAAAAGCTGGCCAAACCCGGAGAGAAACTCGTTTTTTGACGCTTTTGTGGGATGTTTAGTCCTTTTTAACTGATCAGCTCCCCCAACTTGCTTTAAGAAACTGAGCCCTTGCCATCAGCATAAGAAGACAGCAGACTTCAAAAAGGAAGTCCCGTGTCCATCCTGGGCCATGTTGCCGTTGAGTGTACGAATTAATATTTATGCTTGCTAAGAACACTCTTTAGAAGGTGCCCAAGATGCATATGCAGCGACGTTTAATGACCAACTTGATCTTGCATAAGCTCCTGAATGCGATGAGCTGCGGCTCATAGTGCGCTGGGATGGTGCTGTCGGGTTCGCAGTTGGGCTCGCACCAATGCGTGGCTTGAGGCAGCACCGACATCCATAAGTGAGACGCGAATATTCAATTCACAACTCTGTATTTACGTTCCTACCGCCGCTGCCAGCTTCTTCGGCCGGCTATCATTGACAAATTGCATGCAACTAGCACAAATGTGACGTCGAATCAATGAAACACTCGCCATGCGTTCCGATGGCATTACTGGTTTGTGCGGTTAGTATGTGCTGAGCCACCGACCTTATTTTCCGTGTACACAGGTAAATGAGTGGGATGCTGTCTATGTGATCCAAGAACAGCTACCTGTTTCAGCTTGAAAGCAAGTCCGTGTTCTCTGACCAGTAGCTTTTAATACATCTGTCCCCTGCAGCAGTCAACACTACTTTCGGCAGTCCTCTTAGCTCTCCTCAACCCTCGCTACGCTGATGTACTGCGCGCACGGCTCTCAGTGAGCTGGGCACTTCAAAGTTGGGCATCTTCAGGAGGTCACTTCCCATGGGTCTCACACTATGGAGCTTGACACCTCTCTCTTTGTCTCGCTCCCTACCCCCCCCCCCCTCTCTCTCTCTCTCTCTCTCCTCTCTCTCCTCTCTCTCTCTCTCTCTCTCTCTCTCTCTCTCTCTCTCTCTCTCTCTCTCTCTCTCTCTCTCTCTCTCTCTCTCTCTCCCTCTCTCTCTCTCTCTCCTCTCTCCTCTCTCTCTCTCTCTCTCTCTCTCTCTCTCTCCTCTCCTGTCTCCCTCCTCTCTCTCTCTTTCCCCTCTCTCTCTCCCTCTCTCTCTCTCCTCTCCCCCCTCTCTCTCCTCTCTCTCTCTCTCTCTCTCTCCCTCTCTCTCTCTCTCTCTCTCTCTCTCTCTCTCTCTCTCTCTCTCTCTCTCTCTCTCTCTCTCTCTCTCTCTCTCTGGCCGGTTTTCCTAAATCTGACAAACCTCCAAGGAATGACATTATATGTGTGCATGCAGCACTCCTGCCAGTTCTCTTTCTGCGCAGCAGATCTTTTCCGGGTGCGGCCGATCGGAAACAGGACAACATTCACGTCCTGTCCCCAACAGCTGCAAGCAGTTGGGCCTATGTGAACTCCGCGAATACAAGATCAAACACTTCACTCTTTGTGTTTTCATTATCGACTTCCGTTTCTTGACCGCCTTTATAACAGTTAGAGATCTCATGCTGATTTTTGTTAAATGTTTTGCCGTGCTAAATTTATGACATTTTAAACCTACTTCCAATTCTTCACCATTTCGATTTGAATCGGTGTTGATCTATGGCTCATTTATAAATGCCACGTGAGGGATGTTTCTCACTAAATGAACAACACATTCCATGTGTTGGCAATCGGCTCATGCTGCTAGCTGATACCTATAACCGATCTTGAATTTAGCTAAATTAGACTTTTTGGCCTGAGGGTAATGAGCGAGGTCATCAAAGATCTTCTATATGAAACCTGCTGGGTGAAACATTTAGCATACCAGTCTTGGCCATTCACGCCCCAAACATTTACATAATTTACACTTGCAAGAACATTTGTCACGACCCACCATATCGCTGTCATTTGAACGACCAATTGCACACATTGCGGTTGAAACAACCAATTGTGATGAATTTGTTGGTTCAAGGTCACGCTGGCTCAAATGAGTATGAAACAGGTAATTCCGCTCAGAATAGTTTGCTCCATGATGTGGGCCAACGAGCTGCATTGGCGATTGTTTATTATTCAACTTGTTTTGCTTTTGAGCACCTGAATGCAGGAGCCCATTCGTAAATGTCGTGTGAGGATAATTCTAGCTAAATGAACAGCATACTTCAGTTGTTGGCAGACAATTCTAACGACCGTTTGACCCTTCAAAGTCGGACAAACTCACAACCTTGAATTATTCATGCCTACATGCGGCATCTAGGCAGCCATACGATCGCCTATGATGAACTGGCATCGACATGGCACGGCGAATCCCTGGCATCCTTGTTTGCCCTGAGAGGCCATGCATTGATCCATGCCCCAGCACCCGAACATTGCCAGAAATGGAAGACGCCAAAGTGTATCTTGGCGGTTACGGAATTATTTAATGTTTCTTTGTTTGAAAGATATACCGGTAACAAGATTGTGTGTCGATGACATGGCCCGTTTAGTGTCGTTATCCTGGCCTGAAAGATAATCTATGAACCCGAAAATAAAAACTAACGTAAGTTGTTCAGCGCATTAGCAAATAATATTTTATTCACATGGATAAGACAGTGCTGCTTATCCCTCGGAGAAAAACCAGGAAAATGAAAAATATAGATGGGTTGATATTTCGGCAACATGTCTTTATCGAAACAATAGCAGAAGTGAATTCAGAATTACCTGCCGATGATCCTACTCTATTTTTCAGGTTGTTACATCTGAATAGCTTAAACAGCAAGCAACAGGTTCGCGCCTTTCCCGACGCTCTATCCCTCTCAGTTCGAAAGTTAGTAGAGGTTGGGGCTTTCAGGCCACCCCGGTCGAGTGAGGGCGTGAAGTGGTTGCCTCGGGCGATGGTTCACCGGCAACGATAGGATCTCGCGCCAATCAGAACTGTTTCCTGTGTATTTGTGTTTCAGCGCGTCGACCGCAGTGGTCACTTTGCGCTCGCCAATCACAGCTGACTGATGGCTGCGGGCACCGGCTCCCTGCCAGCCCGTGACAGACTGGAGAAAAGGGGATAAGCGCAAGGTCGTTAGAAAGCTTACAGCTTCTCAACAGCTTA